CCATCAAGTCAAGAAAAGCTTGGAGTGAAGTAGTCCAAGCTCTCAAAGAAAATAATCTCCAACCCAGAATGATGTACCCTGCAAAGGTAAATCAAAATTGCTAACATGGATGGCCTCAATACACTAATAAAAAGAAACACAGGCAGAGTGATCAGGAGATAGGGTCCATCAAGATGTTCTATATAAGAAATATAATTAACCTGAAAGAGGGTATATGGACTGAAAGTCAAAGATGAGAAAATAATGCTCTGTGTTACAGGGAACCAGAAAAAAGAGGGAGTAACTCGTCCTTCAGCTGCAGATTGGTTGGAAAGACATAACACTTTTGGGCTGGGGATTTAGCTCAGCGGCATAAGCGCCTTCCTTGCAAGTGTGCGGTTGTGAGTTCAATCCATGGTACTGATAAAAACGAAAAAGACAAAAAAAAATAGTAATACTTTTATACAATAGAGAACTACTCAGATATAAGGAAGGAAAACCTTGAGGCTCTTGTAAGTAAACTGATACAACTTGAGATCAAGCTCAAGGGTAAAAAGGTTCAGAACCACTTAGGTAAACAGCAGGTTGTCTCCCTAATCTAAAAACTAAAGGAGATAGTGGGATACAAAATGTACAATGTATCCTGTAAAAGTGAAAGGGGAGGAATTGTCTAAAAGGGAAAGCAGAGGACATTGTTAATCTTGTATCATGATTTGAAACCCATATTGTTTTCATTGCTGTTTAGTTTGGTTATAATAGTCTGTTCCAGTTTGTCTACTTGTACTAGATTTGAAGGCATGGACAGCTATGCTAAAGATAGCAGGATATACTATGGTAACCATTTTTAATTTCCTATTAATCTGAAGCCCTGTATTGCTTTCACTGTCTTGTTCTGACTGGTTTTGAATCTGTTTTGTTTGATTGCTGTCTTGACTGATTTTATTCAAATCTGTTATGTTTGATAGTATCAAGTCTGAGAGTCTACTCTGAAGACCATAAGATTCCCTATGATACCCACTCTGGTTTGACTATTACCCTCTTTTAAAGTCCTATAATGTCTCCAATGTTTTGTTTTTATTGATTTTGTTCTGTACTGCTATGTTTAATTTTATTGTGCCTGATGATATGGGCAATTCTATTGAAGATAACAAGAGACATCATAGTAACCATTGTAGATCACCTTGTATAGTGATTTAAGTCATGTACTATGCCCATCCTTTTGTTTTGAATGACCCCATTTTGTTTTTTTCTCATTTGGTTTTATTCTCTAATAAAAAGATTTTTAAAATTAAAAAAAAAAAAAACCTAGTTTACCAGAAGGACTTAGCACCATCTAGAGGACAAAGCTGGAGAAACCTGAGGTCAAAAAAATGTAGCTTCTATAACAAGGTAACAGATGATATAGGAAAAAGTATACAAAAATGTAGCAACACCATGCCTCATCTAGCTGATTTACCAATTCATATTGGACAACAGAATTTAACTATTACTATTACATTTATTTTAAAAACCTAACTCTCCATATCATTAATAGGTTTTCCAGTGAGGTTTCCACTGCCATTATAAAATACCTACAAGGGACAGAACTTTCTATGCTAAATTAGGCACCAATAAAGAAGAATGACCCATTGGCACAGTTCCTGTCCTCTAACTTGTAGCCAGAGTTAAAGGGGCTTGATTTTTAATTTGTGTAAACAACAAAAAGTCAAGAGCTTCCGAGAAATTCTGAAACAGAAGATTAGTTTGGTGGCTACACACAGGTACAGATTCAAGTGGCAAGTGTGTCAGGAAAGAGTAACCAGTTGGAGAATAAGGTAGAAATCTAGACAGGAGGTGCCATAGCCTGAACTGAACAGAAACAAAGGGCCATCTGAGAAAGGAGAAAGAATGTCCACTGGGTTTAGACATCACTACAACATGCAGGATATCTCTCAACTGCAGCAATTTCTTAAAAACTGTTCATTCTCTTCACACTTTCCCTCTCAATTTCAAGATTGTTATGAATTACAAATTAAACATTAGAAAAAAACCAAAATAAACATTAGGACTTAGCATAAAGATAAATGTATCACAAAAACTGAAAGGAACATACAGCTTATAAAAATGAACTTCTAATGGTTCAACTACAGGAAACAGTGCAGGCCACAGCAGCTTGACTGATCTGGAGGGGAGGGGCCAGCATACACTGTCCCTGTCTGCAACTCACTAGCACACGGCAGTGGGAAGGGTCATCTAGCCAGCACACTTCAGAAGAATTGTAATCAACAAAGAAAGAAACTGGGGCCTCCTGGAAGAAACAAAAAAGATGGGAAGAGGAAACAACAACAAAAAGTCCCTAGGTCCCAACCCTGAGAACATTGACCCAGGGCAGGTAAATACAAAGGAGAATGAGAACAGCAAACATGCAATATCAGACACAGTGCCAGTGGACATAAAGAGATATCTTCAGGACCTCATAGATGAGTTCAAAAGTGAAATATTTAGCCAAATAAAGCAAAATATAGGACGATTAATAAAAGAGAGCACCCCTAAGCACCCCTCAAACAGACACAGATGGAAGAAGGGAAGAACTCAAACAAAGGAGAGAACCATTTGATGAAGAATATAAAAAAAATATAGAATACATGAAGAGATCACCAGGAAATTAAAAACTCTATAGAAAGATGGCAAATCAGCTTGAAACAAATTAAGGATAGATTATCCAACCTGGAGGATAATTTTGCAATGTGGGAGTATGAAAGGGAAAACTTTTAAAAATAACAAGGAAACAAGCAGTAATAATACAAAGGCTAGAAGACGACAAAAAGATCTGTAATTTGAGAATAATGTGAATGAAGAAGCTGGGCTACAAACAAAGGAACTACAAAGGTTATTCACAGAAATAATTAAGGAAAACTTCCCAAATATAGGAAAAGAAAATGATATTCTGATACATGAGGCACACAGAACTCCAGCCACCTACAACCAAAACAGAGCTACATCCAGGCATATAATAATCAACATCCCAGAAATTCAATATAAGAACAGAATATTAAAAGCTGTTAGAGACAAGAAACAGATAACCTATAGAGGAAGGCCCATCAGAATAACGGCACTTCTTGACACAAACCATCAAGTCAAGAAGAGCCTGGAGCGAAATATTCCAAGCACGAAAGAAAATAACCTCCAACCCAGATTGATATGCCCTGCTAAACTATCTCTAGAAATTAGTGGAGAAACAAGATGCTTCCAAGACAAAGAGGAACTTGGGAAATTCGCAACCACCAATCCAACTCTACAGCGAACACTGCAGGGCATTCTAGAGAGAGAAAAGTACTAGGATTCCAGGAACAGTGGCAAAGAGGCCTCAATGCATAGAGCAGAAAACAGAATGAAGAAGATAAGCAGACAACTGATAGCAAAAAAAAAGAGCATAACAGAAATGAGGCAGAGAAGATTTTATTCAAAATTGATAGTAACAAGTCTGAGACTATAGGCAACTACACTGAAGATGACAAGACTCTTCGAAACACATTCTGGTTTGATAACTGCCGGTTTTTGAAGTTCTATACTATATACAAAGTTGTGTTTTTATTAATACTGTTATGCACTGATATATTCAATTATACTATGTCTGATGATATAGCCAATTCTGTCGGAGATAACAAGAGACAACACAGGAACCATGGTAGAACTCTTTGTACAACGGTCTTATATGTGAACTCTTTGTACAACGGTCGTTTCATGTGTTTATAGGAATATGTTTTGTTTTGTCTTGCTTTGTTTTGTTTCTCCCTCTAATATAGAAAAGATACAAATACATGTTAAGACTCATACATGTGTAGAATCTATAAACAGTTTATAAGAACTGATCTTATGACACATGATGAAATGAACAGATACTTTAAAGAAAAAGAGACACTAAAATACCCAGTGCTGATCCTGGAGTGTCATAATGTGAAACCCAGCAATAGTATTACTCTTTGTTTAGAGTGATACTAGTGATAGTTGGGATTATTCAATCTCAACATAATTGAAGATATGGATAACTGCATGTATGTCTAAGTGTATAGGATTGATAACCATATTTCTAAGTTTTTGTTAGATAGTTGAACAGAACTGGTTGCAATCTCACTGTTTAAATCCCCGCTTTATATGCTCCACCTTAGTATCTTGAATAACTATTTGTAAGAAAACAATCTGTAATCATCAACTAGTGATTTCTTACTGCTTATTTTTTTCTTTGAAATTATGTATTATTTCTACCTGTTTTCTGTTTTGTTTAGTCTTTCCTTTTTTTTTGTCTTTTTCCTTTTTATCAGTACTGGGGATCAAACTCACGACTGCCTGCTTCCAAGGCAGGCGCTTATGCCGCTGAGCTAAACCTCCAGCCCCTGTTTAGTCTTTCTTTAAATTAAATTTTAAAAAAAAGACACTACATTACCCAGTGCTGATCACAGAGTGTCATGTTGTGAAATTCAGCAATACTATTATTCTTTGTTCAGAATGATTTTAACCTGCTTTAGTTTGTTTAATCTAAACATAAATGAAGATATGGATAACTGCATGTATGTTTAGTGTATAGTATGGACAATCATGTTACTAAGTTTTTGTTGGACAGTTGAACAGAACTGTTTGCAGTCTCTCTGTTTGAATTCCCACTTTCCCAAATTTTTGTACGTTGAACAACTATTTGTAAAATGACAATATGTAACATCAACTAGTGATTTCTTACTGTTTATTTTTTTTCTCTAAACATATGTATTATTTCTATTTTCTGTTTTGTTTAGTCTTTCTTTAAATAAAAATTTTAAAAAATAGTTCAACTACAGACACTGCTAGTACAGCACAATAAAAGTAACTTATGCAAGTTAAATTGTACTCTCCAATTCTAAACACACTCAGCAAAGTTTTTCTTTTCCTAGGTCCTTCACTTTAGAATGCCTTTAAAGGCATAACATAAATTCCTAAGACATTGAACACCATTAAGAACACACTGTTTAGAGTAAAAGCCTTAATAGACCCAGCTACCAGAAACATACCTGAATTGAGGAAAAATTGAGGGGAATCTCCATGAATGCCCACAGTACCAGGTCCCAAGGAGTTAGATAAGGTGTTCACAAAGGAAAATACTCCACTCATGATTCCAAAGCCCAAGCCAGAAACTAAAAAGAAAGAAAATGCTATTAAACCCTTTTCCTGCTATGATTTCTCGCCAAATCAAATTTCTAAGGACTAAGAATACGATTTCGTTGAAGAAGTATGTACACATGCTGTTGTGAAAGAGGAGACAACTGATTCTGGAAAGGTATATGCCTGGCTAAATGATAAGCAAAGAGAAAGAGGAAGAGAAAAAAAAATGAGCAATGGAATGCAGCACAGAAATGGAAAAAGGGGAAAAAAAGATGAGTCAGAAGAGGACACTTGTGTCATAATTGAACAGAGGCTACAGAGTTACATTTGTTGGCTTTGAACTGGTATGACATTGGGGGAATAATCATACATTTTAAGGAATGACTCCTGAGCCACAGAGAGTGATGTGACTCAACTAAGGGACCTTGACCCAAGATTTAAGCATAGTTTTGAAAGCACAATATGCAGAGACGATAACTATATTAATATGAAGAGCCTTTCTAGTACAGCCAATGTATGGAAAACATAAAGTAAGTAACAGTTACATCACTTTACAATTGTTAACTAGAGTGTCGTGTCCAAAATCTAACTTTCAAACACAGTTAATATTTAATGGGCATGACAGGGATATAGCTCAGCAGCAAAAGTGCCTGCGTGGTAAGCACAAGGTTGTTCAATCTCCAGTACCAGAAAAAAAAAAAATTAATGGGCATAAAGTTAAGGGTCATCAGCAATCATTTTCCTTTACATAAGGGACCAGGAAAAATAAATACTGATAGACAGGTCAAGGCAGTAATTAAATGGTGCTTGGCATCTATACAGATATAAAAGACGAAAATGGCTTTTATGTTAAGTCTGATTTTCTTTTTCTTAACACCATGTGGTTGTAACTTACCATAGCCCAACAATTGCATAGAGGGTGCTGCCTCATCCGGGTTTATGCTCTTCAAACCCTTACTGGCTTTCCTAAAATTAAATCATACAATAAAAAAGACAAAGAAGAAGAAAAGAGAAAGAAAAAAGTATACATTAGAAAAATATACAAGACATTTCAAATTCAGAATTTACTGGGGTTTCTGGTCAGGTCATACTCTTCTAGATGCCACTTAAACAAAATCCAGAACGTTTTAAAGAAAGTCAACTAAAATTTCCAACTAACATCTTCCTTTTTTCTGATGGTTGCACAAAAGATATATACAGTATATATGAATAAACGAGCCACCAGAGATTTAGTTTAATAAGAAAAACAGCAACACTATTTTCTGAGGTCAGTATTTATCTCAGTATCCTGTGGAATTTACCATTCTGAATTTTCTTCTTTCCAAACCACTAGGTCTTCATCTCCACTCTGCTGGCACTGTACTGTGTCCCCACTAGAGCCACCCTGATGCTTCCACCCTCCCTCCTGCCTTCTACTTCACAGAACTAAAGCTCTCCTCAGTCTTCAAGGTTCAGCTCAATTTTCCTTTTTCTTTTGTAGTGGGTCTGAACCCAGGGCCTCCTACATGCTAAGCATACCTACCAGTAGCCACACCATAGCCTCCAGGCAGCAATTTCTTAAAGCTACCTCTCCCAGCGGTTGGTACACATTAATCTCTCCTTATTGTTGAATCCTAGAAGGGGCCAGTCATATAGTCTGCTAGTTGAAAAATATTTTATGTATTTATTTCATATCACTTATTAGGCTTGAGAAAAAAATACTCATATTCTAATGAGTACATTCTTACACTCTAATACTCTTATTAGTACCGGGGATCGAACTCACGACTGTGCGCTTGCAAGGCAGGCACTTACGCTGCTGAGCTAAATCCCCAGTCCCCTTTTTTGGTATTTTTGAGACAAGGTCTCTCTATGTAGTTCAGGCTGGCCTTGACTCTTTGTAGCTCAGGCTGATCCTCCTGCCTCAGCCTCTCAAATGCTGGGATTACAGGAGTGCACCACCACACCCGGCTTACTCTAATGCTCTTATTAAAGTATATAGAATGAAAACTATTATCAGAATAGGAGGTAAATACTTGATTGAAAGGATAACTACTGTTCAATATGGAAAGATGTTCAGCATGATCATATCCACGCTACCGTTACAGCCAAGTCACAAACTCTACGTGAGTCCCCATTAACCATGAAGACGTGTGAAATGTGAGGTGTCATTGATCAGTTCCACTTCTGTCACTATTACTAATCCCTGCTGGCTAGATGCTCTGCAACAGTATAAAATCCTGTCTTGATGAATATTTAAATTATAATCACTATAAAGCATGTTTATTAAAATAATAAAGGCATCAAAACACTTTAGAATGATTTACCAAAAAACACTGAAACATACAAGAGTTAGGTTAACTCCAAAAAGAGACAATTAAATTAAGCAGAACCACTTATTTTTCTAGCACTGTGCTCATTTAAATTTCAAGATATGCATATTCATTACAGTTTTAACTGTTCTTTACAAAAGTAAAAATGCCATAGATTACATTAAGGCAAGTTGAATTCAACCAAAATAGTAGTATGTATAATAAAAAATGTCCTTGGCTTTTCTAGTCTCAGAATAAACTGGTGTTTTGGAGGTCTCCAATTGGAAGTACTGTTAGATTCCCAGGAACTGAGTCAGAAATTTAAGTGACTCTCTTCCTATTTCTCTGGATTAGTAGCCAATTCAGTTGTCTACTTTTTCTAAATAAAATAGTTATTTGTCACAGGGTTGCTGGAAAGAACTAATTAAAGCTTTAGAGTCATGTATGTAATAATAATAATTCCCATTAACACATGCATCAATATAGAAAAATCAATAAACTGGAAGGATTACTGTTTTAAATAAACTGTTTAAAAGTAAATAAAAGATATTTACTATCTGGTACAGCAAAAACTGCTATCACAATGTATTAAATACATAGATTCAAAAGTTTAGTAAACTTCCTCATCCAGTGTGGTGGCAGGAAATGTTATGTACGGCACTGGCAGTTCTCACAGAGTTAAAATCGGGAAGTGAGGACGCACAATTAATCATTGGTTTCCTTGTTCCTGACAAGCAGAGCACATGACTGACTAGAAGCTGCGCTTTTAATCTATCCATTTCATTGAACTGGCAAATTTGTGCAGATTTTTAAGAACAAAAAAGGAAAAATAAAAAATTCTAATTTTTAAAATATAACTTTGAAAACTGATAAATTCCAGTCTTTCTCATTTGTTCTATTCTTTTTTGAATGCATGCATAAGGAAGAATAAAAAAAGGTGGAGAGAATATCAAAGAATACGTACACAGATTAAGGATACCATTTTAGAAATTTTTAAAAATAGAGTGATGCCTCTTTGAAAAAAACTGCAGCAGAAGCAGCGGTGGTGATGCACATCTGCAGTCCCAGCACTTGGAAGGCTTAGGCTGGGTCACTTGGAGTTTTAGGCCAGTCTGGACCACACAGTCAGTTCAAAGCCAGCCTAAACTACAAAGCAAACTCTATCTCAAAAAAAAAAAAAAAAAATCTGTAGCTCAACTCAAGAACTGAAGGACTTGTCAATACCTACATTAGTAAAAACTACAAAAAAAAAAAAAAAAAAACCCCAGCTGCAACAGTTACATTAACTTTTTTTGTAGAAGTGATTTTCTAAAATTATAAAACATTTATGGTATAAGCATTAAAAGAAAATTAAGTTACAGAAGTTTCAATTCAAACAGAACAAATTCTAATGTCTAAATGTTTTAGGTAACATTAAGTGTTAGGCAACATAAGAGTTACCTAAACTGTTTTAGGGAACACACACATTTTAGGCAATATAACTTTTTTTTAATTAGTGTAGAAAGAGCTATCTTCTGTGACCACGGCCAATTTGTCACTGTGCAAAGTTTTATCAGCTGAAAGTTACTATTCACTCCTATCCCTCTATTTGAATATAGTATACCATAAGAGAGCAATTTAAATTAACCATCTAATAATCAATTATTATAAACATTGCCAAACCTATTTTAACACAATTACATAACATTTCAAAAATTTGCTGGAAAATTCTGTAGCATATTTCAAAGGCTTACTAAAGATGCAATATAAAACTACTACAAACAAAGACACTTGTCAGTACAAGTTTGTCTTACCATCTCTGCAAATTTCCCAATGTCCTTTTGGGGAGGCAAATGTGGTTTCCCCAAGAGGTCAAAGAGGCTTCTTTAAACTTCCTAGCATGAGTCTGCAAACTGGTGGCTGTTATTTCTTGTGTAGTCCTAGTCCCTTACCGCTGTCATTAAAAATGTGCACCTGTGCTTAGCTTATAGTCCTTTGGAATCATAGATCAATGCCAAGAAAAGGCTGCCATTTGAGGTGGAAACCACGAAGAAATTAGGTAGAGAAGAACAGCAGATACTCATTTAGGCACTCTGGTAAGGCAGATTTTAGAACATACAGGTTCTAAAGGATTACTAAATCTATGTTTTCCTGTGAAACTGTGTGATAGAAAAGAACTTTTTGAAAAACTAGAACCAGTCCATAAAAAAGTAATTGGCTCATTACAAAACCAACAAAACCAATGATGTCACTGATGGAAAAACCTAGTGAAATGTGAAGCTGAGTTATTAAAAGTACGATGTCCAGGCAAGGATATTACTTAAGACGATGCCACAGAATACAACCCTGGGTCCTGAGCACAGGTGAAAACTAGGCACTGGCGGAAGGAGCATGTCCGTGGTCTTCTAAGATCCCCATGAAGAAGAAATGAGGAATGTCTCACCTTGAAAGGGACATAATAAAAATCATGTGGCAAACATTTCATTGATGTGGTGAGGGGGCAGACATCAGAAGATGATTTTGACTACATACAGAAACATACCATGATGCCTGGCTTTAAATATTGTTTGTTATTTGTTGCTCTTTAATAATTCCAGGGACTAATGGGAATTTCAATTTTAAACCTTGGCTAAGAAATTACTTTTGTTTCTAGGCAATGGCTTCCTGGTTTTCAATTTGTAACAGTAATTATTTCATTATGAAAAGAGAACTCAAAATCTATTACAAAGGGCAAACTTAAAAAATACAGAAGGTCTAACCTTTGGCAACGACAATTTATCAGAAGCCTATTAAGAGATGTTGCTGATGTTCAATCTGGATTATATCTCCTAAATTCATGGAGAACTGTAATTACTTCATTTGCAGAAATGAAAAAAGATAACACATTTATCACTCAATTGTTACTCTATAATCAAAGCCAGTTTCATAACTGCCTGAAAATATGGTTCCAAGTTCTAATTGTATTTCAAATCAGTGGTTTCAAGTGAGGTCCTCACAGTCATAGAGAAGGCATACTTTGTGGCCCCAAAACAAAGACTAAGCACAAGGCCTTTCTTAAACTGTTGACAGATCTGAAACCATGGGAAATATTAAAAATAAACTCTTTCAAAATATTGTAATGGAAGGCATAATCTCCATAGGAATTATGTGCTTTGTGTGCCAGGAAAAATCCAAATTCCAAGTGGGAAGGGTTTTTGTATCAGTGATTTTCCTGTATTATTTTTCTGCATAGCATTTCATCTAATATACAAGGTTACTTTCTTGTTCATTTATTTCTTGACCAATACAAAGTCCACAAGGCCTGCCTTTTCATTGCTGATGTAGCCCTCATGCTTAGGATAGTAACTGATAATGTATACAGTAAATTTTCAAAAATTACTTTTTGAATGATTAAAGGAAGAAATGTTCACAAGTTAAAAGGATATTCAATACCTGCAAGCTAGAAATGTTCTAATAACTCTGCTTAGAATTATGTAGGAAAGAATAGACCCTCAAATATCATAGGATATTAATGTGTCAAACTACCAAACATGACTCAAACACAAATGGAAAAAAAAATTTTGTTTGAACTTACTTTAAAAGTCTATAATATGCAAACCGGAACATTTCTTGGATAAAGATGGAAGGCAACACCCCAAAGATTAGTAGAAATTTTTGTGTTGGTCCATCTTTGTTGTCAGTAATGGGTGTTGCTAGGAACCAAATAAGTGATGAAATCAGTAGAGACACCAACCAAAAGAAAGCTCTGAAAATTAAGATACACAAAAGTTGCAAGTGAACATAAGCATAGAATTAATAATCATTTAAAACTCAAAACCCTCCTTTGGAAGGAACAGAGTTCCTGAACTTTCATCAGGGAAAAAATATTTTCCATAAAGTAGGGCCCTGGATCACTGAACAAGATGCATCTTCCCTATCGAGACACACACATATGCCACAAGGAAAGTTTGATTTGCCCAACAATTACTTTTTTTGAGAGAGTGTTTCACTATGCAATTCAATTCAAACTGGCCTTGAGTTCACTTTGTAGACCAGCTACGATCCTCCTGCCTCAGCCTCCCGAGTTTACCGGCATGGAAAACCATGCCTGGCACAATTACTTGTTTCCAGTGATGCTATGATGCAGATGCACATCTGAAAATCCTATTCTTTCCTCACTGGAAATCTGGTTATTCACTACTCTTCCTAATAATGGTTTTCCATCGCTGTGCCAAAACAATAAAACAACATGCAACTATTCCAAGTTTTGTATCCTCAAGACCTACGAGAAATTGCGGATTTAACCATCAGGTATCTGAAAAGGTAAGTGAGGGGAGGAGGGAGAAAGGAAACATTTCTATTAAGAGATCTAGATCAGTTTTCAAGGTCTGATTCTTAGAACAATCCTATGGACTTTAATGATTTCAGCAAGATATAGAGACGGTTATCCCAAATCCCTATTGTTTTTAAATACCATGCAATTTAGCACCTTCAAAACAGTCGTGGGAGGTGAAGTTCAGAAAAGTGGGAAACACAGCCCAACTCCCTACACATCCCTGTAAAAGCTGTCAGGAAGGAGAAAACTGAGGTTATGACTACATTCACCGCCAGCGCTCGGCATTCACCAAGCTCCCAGGAGGCGGATGCAGGATCAGGCGCATCTGTTTTCACAGGCTTCCCTCCACCTTTTGGCGCACATTTCAAACCCCTAAGGGCGCTTTTAAAAACCTGAGCCCAACATCGGGCGTGGTGGCTCACACCAGTAATCCTAGCACTCAGGAGGTTGAGGCAAACAGAAGCAGGCCCTGCACTACCTGCACATCGAGAGCCTGGCTTAAAACAAAACAATTCCACCCCGCAAACCTCCTGGCTCGGTCAATCTAGGGTGCAAGGGTGCAGCAGGCAGCATTTGGTCCCCAGGGGACTCCACATGCACAGGAAGACCTGCTAGACGGCCTGTGACCTCCGGAGACGGCGACAACTAAGTATCCATCTCCAGAAAAAAGAAGGACGCCTATGTGAGCGGATCCCTAATTTTCCTCATCCGCGCCACAAGAGGGCCTCAGTACTTCGGAGCTCGACCTCGCAATAAAGCACCCCCAGACCTGCCCAGCCGCGGGGCTGCAGACCCATGACGCGAGGGGGCGCGGGCGCTCCATTCTCCCCGCCCCTCTTGCGGCCAAGCAGGCAGGGCAGTTTGAGGGATCCTGGGGCGCGATCACCGCAGCGGGGAAGGGGCGCTCAGGGCCCGGGTTTCCCCGCGCGGCCGCCTCACCCGGCGATGAGGAAGATGATACGCAGCGGCTTGGTGGCGATGGTGAAGACGAAGAGGGCGAGTGCGGGCCCGAAGGCAATGAAGGCGCAGCCGAAGAACACGGCCGCCGTCATGGCGACCGCGGAAGCCAGCGCCGGGGCCCTGAGGGGACGCGAGGGGCGCGGACGCGGAGGGCACCAGGGCGGAGCCGAGCGGCCTCCGGGAGCCGTTAGGGCGGGGGGCGGGGCCACGAGAGGGGTGGGGCCTTCTGGGTCGGAGGCACGAGGCAGGGAACCCGGGACTGACAGTGGGCGGGGCCTGGGGCGGGACTAGAGCTCCCCAGGGGTCTTTGGGTCTAAGGCGAGAAGGCACTAGAGAGGGGGCGGAGCTAGGGCGTGCCCAGGAGGTGCCTGAGCAGGGAGAGAGGCGACTCCCGGAGAGCGGCGTGGACAGCAACTCTCGCGCAGGTCCACCTGGGGCCACCAGACGTGGGGGAACGTCCCGGCTGCACCACAGCCCTTGATCCTGAGGCACCAACCCAATTGATAGCTTTCTGAAGGAGAAAGAGGAGGAGGAAAGATTCCAGGTCAACTAAAAACCAGCGCCGGGATTCCTTTTTAAATAATCGAATCTTTTTTAAAGCAGTTTTAAAATTTGCATAATTTGTGGAACATCGTGCTTCGCCGGATTAACAGTGACCCAGGCAATGACCCACAGATTAAAAAAAAGATGAAATAGTGGTGGAAGAAGCACTTCTTTGCAGCGTTGTTTTGGCGAGCTCATTTTAATTTCAACCCCGAATCTTCAAAAAGTTGTTTTTGAAGGTATTCTCTAATTGCCCTTAGAGCAACAGTAGCATCTCCCGGGTCTCGGGAATCTTCTCCTTAGAATGCACTTTTGAGGGCAGGAATTTCACAAAACATCTTGTCAATGAATACGTTTAGAATGGAACTTACATACTATTATATTAAATTTGAGATTTTTAAATCAACGTAGCAGGAGTATGAAGAGAAACAGGCACATTTAAGAGAGTTTAGGAACTTTGCAAACAAAATCCAGTGATTACTGAACTGGATTGCATGGAGGGAGAGGGAACTGAGGAAGTCAAGGGCCTCTGGAGATAATCTGCCTTAAATGGTTGCCGTGGAGATGGAGAGAAGAGGGGAAGCAGATACAATGATGGGGGTGGGGATCATTTTGGATAATCTGTTAATCAGAGGTCCCTAGGACTTTGGCGAATCCTAGGCAATATTCAGTAGGGAGCTACATTCATAGGATCAAGGGAGATCTGGATTAAAGAGCTAGATTTGAGACTCCCGACTACTTGAAGGCTTGAAAGTAAGTAGTCAGTGAAGCAAGGACAGGACCATGCCAGAAGCCAACTTTAGGGATGACAAGAGCAACCTCCCTGAGCCACCCCTCCCCCCAAAAAATAACTAAAAAAAAAACAGCTAGAAGGGGTAATGAGGAAAATGGCTTGTGCTATCCTGCAAGTCCAGAGCAAAAAACTTGCAGAAAGAAGGGCTGTTGAGAGGTTATATAAGGGGCCAGTGAAATGTGTCCACTAGATGTAGCTGTGACTTTTAACAGATGGAGAAATAAAAGCCAGTCTGTAAAGTTTTTGAATGAATGTTAAGAGGACAATGAAGGGGTGGAAATTTGGCTTTGGCAGAGCAGACAGGATGTCCTCTCAAAAAGAGGACTGAGGATAGAGGGACCTATCTTTCTTGGTAAGAAATAATGTAGTTTTCATCCTACCAGGCACAAAAACAAGGCAGTTCTGTGGGAGGCCACAGTGAAGCTACTGGCCCTATCTGAATCAATCTGAGAACCTACGCCTACTCATTTTATGAACCACTGATTTCAGTAGTGGTGGTGTAGGACAAAGCTCTTCAGGAAGTAACACTTAGAAATGGGAGACCAAAGTAATAACCACATACTCTTTACAGTAAATTCAGCTTCAACTTGCCAACAGTACTCACTACTGGTTTTCTAAAAACAGCAATGTAGGAAGACACATTCCCACTGGCTTGAACACTGGTGGTACAGGCATGACTGTCCCACTGGGTGGCTTTGAACCACTCACTGGTGGTTAGCTGTTTAACATCAGTTGATAAAACTCAAATCTGAGCAGCCTGGCAGGAAGACATGCGGATTATGGCCCCATCGTGAACGTGTTAAGAGAAAGACAAGGAGAGTATAAATCAGCCATAAGGAATCAGAGAAACTACTACTTGGCTACCTCCAAGAAAGAAAGAAGAGGTAGGAAGGTTGAAAAAAAAAAAATGCTGCAAGTTTGAAATTGTGGGATGAAATGAAAAAGCCTGAGACTAGAAATAGGGCTGGTATATCCATTCTTACTGCTCAGTGGAAACAAAACATCAGAAACTAAATCTGCAAGGAATAAAAAGGACAAGACAAACAATTTAAGGCTGCAGGTCCTACAACTCAACTTAGTTCAGTGTAGTCTGAACTAAATATGAGTAGGAAGTTTGAACATTTGTATGTCTTAAAGTAACTCTAGGTGGGCTATAGTTTCCTAACATAGAACAGGTCTCCCATGGTGTGAGTCATACACCTAGCAAATTTACAGAACCATATAAAAAATGTGTGACATACTTAAGGGAGTCAATAACAGTTTAATTATGTAGGTTTTATTTTAGATGAACATTATTGTAAAAAAAAGTTCACCCGGAATAAAATCCATTTTAAAAAAACCACAGCATCATTATCAGTACATAGTTAATGAATTGACTTAAACAAGATTAACCTCATGACAGGTCCATTTTATCTGCAGGAGATTTTTACATTAAGCCATTGGAGCAAAAATAAAATATATCTAAACATACACTGTAGGATAGTTCTTGGTGAAAACTAGACAGTTCCCTTTAAGGGCATGATTTTAGTCAAATAGTTTATGGTGTTTTATATTGAACTACAGTTGCAATATAAATAACTGCAAACAAAATAACACTTATCTGTAAGGCATAGGAATGAACTATCATAATTAAATTCACATTTTTTAAAGGTGAAAAAATGAAGTAAGTTCTATGAGATCTTGGCAATGAGAAATGCAATTACATATGGCACACATTTCAAGAAATGAAGTAAAATCTGAAAATAGCCCTAAAATAACTGTTCATTCTCCTTTCTGTACATTTAGGTCATTTAGATTTTTTCATGTGCACTCGACATCCATTATTTTTAGTAGTCTCAGAAAGGTTGATCCTACTATAAAATTTAGCTAGGATTTGAAATTTTATTATCATGTTCTGTCTTTTGAGGTCCTTTTACAAGAAGGGATTTTGTTTTTAGACATTCCTCTCTACTTTTAATGTAACAAGAAAGAAAAGAGAATGTTTTAAAAGTCTAAAAAATTGCTTAGAATTTGAGGTAAGTGCCACATAATGAAATACATTTTAAAATTTTTAAGTTTAGAAGCTCATCTTTAAAGACTAAAAATTAAACTTACAAAGAAGTCTAAGTCATAAACTTGAAAAGGGTTTCTTAAATGTATCATTTACCAATCACAGGAAAAACTTTATAGGCCTTAATACAGGCTTTCAGTAAAATGGAATTATAATCTCTTACTTAGAAAATTATGCAAAAATGTATCTATATTGCACAGCTAAATTTATTAATGGGGGCAGGGAGATAGTACTTTTTTTAACACTGCTGGAATAACACATATGTTCTACTCTAAATATAGATATCACCTACATTTTTCCAAGGATGCCTTCAAAACAAAACAAAACATATAATCTAAATTGTATTGATTCTTAAAAGCTGGCTCACTGTTTTATACCAGGTATTAGAATACTATTTAGCTAAATGAGGTATAATTTAAAAATAGTCCTTCAAAGTAAAGAGTATACTCTTCTGAAAATTTATAACAAAGACTGCACAAAATGTTCGTGTAAATAGTAAGAAACCCTGGAGCATCTACTAACTGATGCACAGGTGGATTATTTAATCATAATCTGTCTGAAGAAAAATGTAGCTAAAATAACTTCCCAGCGAAACATTCTATAATCAGCTGATTTACATGCTACTTAGGTACAGCACATTTTCATTGTCTGATACCCTCAGATTCTATTGGAAAAGGTCTGGTCCAATCATCAAAACTTAGCACACTGTTAATAAAGTGCAGCCACTGAGCCACTGATACTGCTGTGAAAATCTTTATGTACCTTTTATCCATAAGACCACAAAAATATTCACACACAAAAAAACTAGATTTCTTCAGTTTCAGCAGGGAACAGACAGTTATCTGTTACTAAAACCATGTACAAATAGAAAAAATAATGCACTATATGTACATTATTAAGCAAAATGAAATATTTATTGGGTCACTTTACCATGCAGAAAGTAAATTTCCTATGGTCTTAACTCAAATTATATACAATTTAGCAAAGCTAAATGTAAGAAAATAGCAAGGACAATTTACTTCTATATAACAGAGTATACTCCCAGTGTGCTGCTACTTCAAAGAGCACGTTTAGACTCATTTAACTTTTACAGGCTCTTTCAAAAGGAAGTTCATGGAGACTAGTTATACCTACAGAAGGCAAAAAGAGAATGAAGAAATGTAACAAAAGCAAAGCGTTGTTTAAAAAAAAAAAAGTAGACTAACCACAGAACGTGTCAGTTTTGGTTTGCAGACAACCCCTGAGATAGAAACCAAAGTGTTAAGACACCAAATAGTCAGAGGTAAAATACTAAGAGAATTACATTCATACATGGTGTCATAGCACTTGCCCTTTAAAAAGTACTTCATTACCATCCAGAAAGCTTAATTGCTTGGATTTACCCCACACACACACACACACACATAATTAAACAAGATGTTTCCAACAAATTATTTTTTCTACTCAAATGTGTGTCTAAAGATGGCAGACTCACACTCAACTTTCAACCATAGAACTACTGATTACATACCAATGAGTGCCTTTAAGCTTATTTGTAACTAATAAAATGATCAAACAGACAAAATCAAGGAGGCTGAAATTTGTCAACAGCAAGTTTAGTGTAACCATCAAAAGTAGCTCTGGCATGTGTATAACTACTAAACTGTTTCTAAGTTTTAAAACAAGTAATAAAGGCTGACTGGTCTAAGTATTTAAACAACAAATCCTAATTTGAAGCAGAAATCTTTGTGATAACAAGCAATCCAGCATTCCCACTTCCATCTTCTGTTCCTAACCTGGCCTGACAGCAGCCTTGGCAGGTGTGGCAGAAAGATTAATTATAACAGGATTCATTTGCTTCGTCACCTCTTTCCTATTCCCTTCTGTGTTATGACACTAAAAACTGTAATAACAACAGTGACATTATAATTGGAATTTGGCACATAAATTAACACTAAATACTTTTTTAATGTGATGCTTTGTCTACAGTAGGAATACCAGTACCAGGGTTTGGGAAGAAAAGATTTGGCCCAAATGAGGACAGAGTTCTGTCATAATGAACCTAAATAGATGGAGTTGGGCACCACATATTCACTAACAGCTATTTAAAACTGAAATGCCGATCATCTTTTGTCTAATATGAAGGCAAGACTTTTCCTATATGATAAACTAAGTCTAAGTACTTTTGTTTAAAAAGAAAGAAAAATAGACCCAAAGATTATTATTTTCACTATAACTAGGACTATGCCTTAAATTTATATCAACAAATTAATCCTTCTCATGGATAAGCTTTCTGCAAACTAAAATCTAAATCTAACTTTTGTTAACTCTTGCAGATAGGGATTATAGTAGAAATCAGGTATTACAACGAAAACAGTAAGCTGAGGGGTAAACCCAACAAAAAATATATATCCTGATATAATGTGGAAAATAAAACCCTAAGCAATACAATGCTGCTTATGAAAATTTCAGTTGAACAAATTTGGAAATAGAAACAAAGTGTTACTAGGTTTAGATAAAGTAAACATTTAGATAAGTAAAACATGCCGAACATGAGAAAGCACAGCAAATTACAGACCTGGGATAAGTGAGATAACAGTATCTCCAAATGCAGTTTCTATAGATTAGGCAGAGGCAATAAATTTAAAAAGCAATTCATTCAGCTACCCAGACTCTGGCCAAAAAAAAAAAAAAAAAAAAATCAAAAATGAAGCAAAATTCAATAATCTGAAGAAAAAAAGAAATTGTGGCCTCTGAAAAATAAAAGGGCCTTTAAAAAAATTTTTTAAACTGTCCTTTAACTTCAGTTAACCCCTGCTTAATATTTTGCTGTCTTTTAAACATCCCGAGTGTACACATTTGTCTAGAACTTCATGACACCAAAGTGCCACAGACAGGAGTCTGAGACTGCGCTGTCAGAGGGAAAGGCTAACAACGACGTGCAAAGTGGAAAAGAAAGACAGCAGCTTCTGCAGCAGGCATAAAGAAAGTAAAAACCAGTTAGATCCTGCATGTGTCTCCATGTCATTGCTTCCATGTATGAAAAAGGAGCCTGTTCTTTTTTGAGGCCACGAAGCTGGAATCCACTTGGCACTCTGTGTCGAGAAAAAGAGTTTAGTGGTGCTCTCCGCAGCAGCCGGGGGGCGGGGTGACTTAGAGGATGGGGGACCTGTGCTTTCAGAGAAGCAGGAAAGGACCCTCTCCATGTGCTGCAGTCTCTCTCTCTCTCAGAAACAAAGAGTTTATCAAAGCAGCGAACAGCGGAAGAAGCTGGTCTTCTTGGATCGGTTCTCTGTTATTTTCACTGGTCCACCTGCCCCTGATGAATTGCTGTCATTCTAAAACACAGAAGAGAAAGTTAACAAGGAAATGAGTTTCTTTTCCTTTTTTCTTTTTTCTGTTTTTTACTGAGGATCAAACTCTCGACCTTTTATGCCGCTGGCCTACAACCCCCAGCCCCTGGAAATGAGTTTCAATGCTTTGACTCCAATTACCCAAAACATAAAAGTAAGCCATACCATATGAAATGTATGTTCTACTGAAATGTGTACTCACTAGAATATTTTATTAGAAGGAAAACTAATTAAGCTCCAATGTTGTCCTTTCTCCTTGAAAACAGATTAAAAGGAGAAAAATGTCCTTAAAATAGCGTTTTTATTTTAATAATATATTAGGCAGGGAGCGCTTACTTCCAGTTCAAAGAAATTATAAACCAATGGAATAGTTTCAGGGGTAGTGATGAAATAATGCTAAGCCACAACTGGACACAATTCTGTTTGAGATAAGAAGAATTGGTAAGATGATGTAATTTTAGACAGGACTGAGGTTAAAACAAACTTTCAAAGTTCTCCTTAAGATCCATCACTGAGATACTTTCCAATTTAATAAAATTGAGCAACTTTAACATTGTAACTATATAAATAACTGCCACATGAAATAAATTATACAAGTTATAGAAAAACTGTACAAGTTATGACAAAAATGTAATTTGTGCCATTATTATTTTCATTATTCTGATCAAAATTCAATTAAAGACCACTTGAAGGTCAGATGAAAGAGCAGAACAGCTGCAATTTTCAAATGAAATCCTACAGAAACAGAAATAAGAATCAAAGTTCAACCAGGTGAGTACCTGATTCAGAAGAAGAGTTTAGTATAAATATGTTATGGTCATGCTTAACTTTTGTATTAAATGTCAAATGATATAAGAATTGTAAGAGATACAAACCATTTTTCTGTTGAGTTTTGTCATTATATCTCGTGCAAGTGTAAAAAATGCCTAAAGGTAAAACAAAAAATTCATTATTGTATACTTATAATATTTCAAATAGAAATATGGAAATTTTCATTATTTCACCATAAATATATTACTTTAGAGTTTGAAACTTGAGAAAAGAACATAAATGAAATCATACAGGTTTTTTGTTTTTTTTCTTTTTTGTTTTTATACTGGGGATTGAACTCACAATCTTACACTGCTAGGCAGGTGCTTATGCTACTGAGCTAAATCCCCAGCCTGAAATCATAGTATGTTAATGAATATTGTAGCTTCTTTTTCAGTTATACAACGAGCATTTCTAATATTATCAAGCTACACTTCATTTATTCATCAACCATTCTCTGCATGAAGACCTGATACAAGTTCTTAATATGACTTTTTTTAAAAAGATTTTTCTGGGTGTGATAGTCACACCCAGCCTGTAATCCTAGCACTCAGGAGGTTGAGGCAGGAAGATCATTGCAAGTTCAGAATCACCTGGGCTACAAACTGAGCTCAAGGCCATCACTTTACTTTTTTCCTACAGAGCCAAGAACTCTTGAAAATTTCTTTCACGGGCTCCAGTGTTAAACACACCTTTATGTCAGCCTTGTTGTTCCTATCCACTCCTGATCCCCAAAAGCTGTTCAGGAAAAGGATTACTATAAGGAAGCACTATAACTACAAGTATTACTCTTGATCAGTGTCTCACTATCACACTGGTCACCTGGAAGTTTCTAAGTAAGCCTATCTTAGCTTTTACAAGGCTAACCAGACTAAAGTTCTGGGGAAATTGCTATCTTCTCTATGCCACCTCTCCGGAATAAGTAGCTCAGGCAACTCCCAGCTTCATACTTCCAAACTCAATGCCCCCTCTAAGCGGCAGCTGCTGTGAGGGTGCAGGTACATCAGAGAGCAAGCCTGTTGTGTAATGAAGTCTCCCTGTGGAGTGACACTACACAGGTCCCGGCTCTGAGCACCCTTTTCTCTGTTTCCATTATCCAAGCTGCCCTTTATAGTAGAGGGAAATCTTTTCCTGTAAGCAGAAGGAAGTAGTTTTCTGCTTAACTATGCTGGTGTAAATAAATCAAGTAGAGACTTCCTGTTTCCCAACACTCATCAGCCAACCTGAAAAAAATGAATGTTATTTAAAACAAAAAAGTTCTGCGAAGTATCCACTGACTAATAAAGTGAATTTCCAGTTTTAGCCATTGTTATGACAGTAGCCTAAAAAAAAAAAATCACTATATAGGAGACCATCACAATTACTAAGCAAATTTCATGAATTATACATATTAAATGTATTATTTTATGATCAGCTTAAAAATGGATTTTATGGCCAGGGATATAACGCAGTGGCACAGCAGCTGCCTGGCCAAGGGCATGGTCCTAAATTCAATTCCCAATACCAAAATATAAATACATAAATAAACAAATAAATAAATAAATAAATAAATGTTTTTTGAGCCAAAAAAAAAATGTTTTCAACAATTCTGTCCTTGGTGGAAAAAAATTTGAAAGACTTTGCAAATACGGGCTGGGGACATAGCTCAGTGGTACAGTGCCGGCCCAGCAAATGTGAGGTCTTGAGTTTGATTTAAAAAAAAAAAAAAAAAGACTTTACAAATGATCTTGCTTTCTTTCACTTCTAGCTTAATGAAAATTTATGAAAGCTACTCTCTGATAAAACATATTTTCTTATTTCTACTAACTGCCACAGTGTTACAATGTATGGTGCTTAATTTACTTCAAATGTATCCACAAAGAGAATCTGTTCAATAAGCTAACAGTCTGAGTCTCTTGAGAGAGCACAGACATGGAAGTAAGTTAACTCATCTGCTATTGGCTGCTACAGGATGACATGAATGATGACAAATGAGCAGAACGCACTGCTTGGCTTTCTAGTCTAGGATTCCCAGCTTCCCAAACAAAGACTACACTGAACTTAAACTGAACTTCCAGCTCTGTGCCAGTGACTCTTGACTGAGCAATCTCATATTGCCCACGTGGAAGCTAGGTGCTCAAAGTTCAGCAACCGGAATGCAAGTGTAAGTTAAAGGCACCGAAGTGCACAGAGTGGAGGTGGCTCAGCGCAAAACTTCCTGGGTTTGGGGTCTTAGCTCAGTGGTAGATCACATACCTATCAGTCCATGGGCTCAGTCCTCGGCACTAAAACAAACAAAACAAAAAGGCTTTCCCTGGGTCTGAAAATACCAAAGCTTGGAGAATCACTGACCCACTACCTAACAAGGCACCAAACATCTCCTTACCTCTTCTACATTTGTACTGGATTTTGCACTGGTCTCCAAAAATTTAATCCCATAGTCAATTGCTAACTGAAAGGCAAACACAAACAGTAAATAAATTCAGTGAAAGTGGTTTAACATATAAAGCTTTGTTTTTAGGTTTTTTCCAAAGTCTCCAAAGTCAGCTATCTTATATCACAACTACTATAGTTCTCGAATCTTTGCTTCCTTAACTATTGCAATTGGAATTTAATAATTTAACTGTAAAGTGGCAGAAATTTCATTTTAAACAAAATGTCAATATTTTTCTTTGTTCTATTATTCTTTTAGTTCTGTAACAGATGTATAAGAAAATCTATGAGATGGATTCCCACCCTTACTACTAACTTGAGAATCATTTGCCCCTTTTATCTGCTCCAAAAGTACATTCTCCTAGTTACTATGCTGACTTTTAACCTGAATGGGTCCATAACAGTACAAGAACACTGAAGTATTCATTGCTTTGATTTCTATTAACTGACACATGTCATAAACTCTTCCATATTGCTCCTGAATCTCAAAGGACTCCCCAGTTCATTTACAACACTAAAGTTAAGTGAATGTTTTTAAGGGAAAGTTAGTGGTCAGGTACTGCAAAATGCATCTTGTAGGTATCACTGAAAAAAAAGGCCAAAGCAAAATTCTGAAACTTAAAAATGTGAAACCTCTATGTGAAATGTGAAATGTGAAACTTTGAAAATGCCACCAAGGTAAATATGTACAAAAAGTATAACCTTTTTATTTACAGGACACAAAACAGAGAAAGGCCTACAAATGACACATCTATAAATTGATCAGCTATGAGTTTACTCATAATAATCTACATCTGATATATAGTAAAATACCCTTAAGAAAAAATGTGAACTATAACATGATTATTGTTGAACTTCTCCTATCCCATTATTTGTTTTTTTCAAAGAGACAGAATTATTTTAAATCCAAAACTGGGCTTTTCACACAGATCTGCAAGAAAGAGCTTGAACTCTAAGCTGCAAGAATCTTAAAGGACCAATTTGTATCTCTCAGAAAACATTAGCAAATTCTTTAGGAGTGAGTCATGACCACACAGTATATGGAGTTGGATTCTGAATACTAATTCACACCATTCAAGTATGAATTACATCTCTTTGTTGTTGGTATTCAATTTTAAAGGATTAAAAGACAGGTGTTCTAAAACTTAAATCAACAATTAGATGACATAAGAAAAATGAATGTTTAATGCTAGTTGATTGCAACATTTATCCTTCAGGTAAAATTTACCTTCTCTCCTCTTTCCTTTGACACTTGTCTTTTGTCATTCATATCACATTTGTTACCCAGGATCATTCTTTCAACATCGGAAGAGGCATGCTGCAAAGAGAAAACAGCATGCCATAAAAACAGGCTGAGAAAGACTGTAGTTATTCAGCAGGAAACTCCCAACCTGTCAGAAATACATCAAGGCCTTTAATAGTAAAACAAATAATCTTTCATTCAAAACAAGATGTGATTGAAAGGGAAGTTTAAAGATGGGAGAAGGGAAAAATGCCACAGTTTAGACCCTTAACAGAGCCTATACGCACTTTTGCCCCAAGGGGTCACAGTCATTCTTTTGTCCTTTTTTCTCTCTTGTGCTCTATTTTTTTTCTTTTCTCTTTTTTTTTTTTTACATGAAGTAACAAACATAAAGTTTACAGTTATCTAATAGCAAAGCCTCCAAATATTTCTTGGGGTCAAACGCAGAAAAACTTAGTATCAAATCCCCAGTGGAAAAAGTATTTTGGATTCTTAACAGTTTAAAAAATAAATTTATGTGGGCCACTATAAATATGTAAAAAGTTATTTCAGGGTCAAATTTCTTTAACTATCAAACACTTTTTAAAAATCTTAATACCAATTTTGCTGGAATTAAGTCAAATTTCAAATATCTAAAATGGAGAAAACGTCAGAAGAAAAAAGTTGTATTTTTATGGAATAAATAGAATCTAGGAAGTCCAGAGAGTTTTAATTCTGAATCTCTTTCTTTTTTTTTTGAGACAGGGTTTGACTATGCAGTTCAGGCAGGCCTTGAACTCATTTTGTAGCCCACATTTGCCTTCAGCCTCCCAAGTGCTGGGATTACAGGCTTGGATCTCCTTTCTAAAGGCGGTACAAAAACTGGCAAATCACTTCTTTCTGATTTGAGTTTTCTCATATATGAAAAGGGGACTTAGATTACTGTTACGATCTAGCCCACATTTAAAATCCTGTGAAACTGCTCCTCTGTATACACCCCACGGGGGTCAGGCTGGTCATGCCACAGACCTGGCCCTTTGTGGGTGGAGGGGCCCAGCCTGACTGCCCTGCTTCTCAGAGACAGAAGGAGTCTCCACAGCATACAGCAGGCACCCCTCCAGCATCACTGCTCTCTTTCATCCATACCTCTTCAATGTTTCTTATCCAGTTCTTAATATTGTCAAAGGATTTTTCATTTGTGATGTCATAGACCAGCATAATCCCCTATAAAGAAAAACAAAAGTCTTGATATAGCCCTTTATATATTGATAGTAAATAATGTCAAGACAGTCCTTTCCAGAAACCTTTGTTTGTCCTTTGTTTTAAAAAAGGATTCATAATGAATTTGGAAAGTACTGAAAAAAATAAATTGTCTTGCTACATACATACATACATACATAATATGGTAGCATCTTCACTGTTAACCTTCAATGAATTAGAGATTGTGGTAAAAGTTGATACATCCTTCCCACCTGACCTCACAGGATAACATTCAGCACCAACTACAGCTGAAGGTAAGTTTAAATTAAAACAGAGATAAGAGTCAGAAGAGACGTAATCACTTCCATCGTCCATCTGTTAATTCCAAGTAGAAATCAGCCTTTTACCGATCCACTAAGATACTGCTTTAAAATTATTTTAGAGGCTGATCAAAATGCCATCCTTTATGTAGATAAATCATAGGCACTTAAAATATTTCCTACATGAATTTAGTTAAAAACACTGTAGTCATATTTTTGAAGCTCCCATATCTGGATATACAAAGTGTTCAACTTACAGATGTTACATTGACACGTGGATATAACTAGTCTACAATCTATAAGCTTAGACCATACTCTGGTGCTGCATGCCAGGACCCATTCATCTGTCCATCTATTCAACAAATATTTAATGTGTGCTTAAATACAATACCTAATAATATACTAGATGTTACTAGCAGTGAATAGGATAGTCAAAGTCCCTTCCTCTTGTGGATGGCATGAACCAATAATTATACAAATGTTGGCCACTGCCATAAAAAAGCATGGGAGCTCTGAGCTCTCATGTCAGGGATGTAATCTAAGCTGAGAGACTGCAGTAGTCAGAGGTTTCCCTGAGATAGTATTACAGCCAAGGCCTGAGGACTGAGCCAACTTAAGTTGAGCAGAGGAGTTGGGTTTGAAGAAGTGAAGCTCTCTGGCACCTGGTAAAGAGCACAAATGTTATAAACAGCTCACTGACATGGAAGCCCAGAGCCCAAGGGACCCAGTAAAGGGAAGCTTGGCAAGACTGCAGAGAGCAGGCAGCAAACAGGCATGAATTGAGGCAAGAAGGCAGATAGGACCAGCCATCTTAAGGATCTCAGTTGGAGATCTCAGTTGTTGCGCTGCTCTTGCAGTCCACAAACACTACTAAGTAAAATATGGGACTGTCTTAGTCTCTTCCTGAGTTTCTGTTTCTTCTGTATCACTGGTCTGTGAAAGGTCACACTCAGTCAGCCAGCCAGCCTACACAAACACCTGCAGACCTAATAAGTCATTATTTCAAACTCTGACCCCTCACCTCACATAGAAAGCCTTATTCAAATTCCCATCAATTAGCCATTTCCTGGATTACTGTGAGTCTTCAACTGCCTCCTTGCTTTCATTCTTACCCCATCTCGTCCCACTTTCATGGGGCATCTATTATTTCGTGGCTCCAAATTCCTTAGTATGGTTACCTTTCCTGTGCCTTCAGAATTAAGTTAAAATTCCTTAGCCTGGCAGGCACAGTCCTTCAGAGACTGGCTTCCAACTTTGAAGCAAATATAAGTGTAAATAATTACAAGTCTGTGTGGGGTTGTTGCTTTTGTTTTGTTTTGTAGTACTAGGGCGTGAATTCATTTTTCATGCTGAGAAAGGGTCTCAGTAAGTCCCTATGTTGTCCAGGGCTTGAACTCAAGATCTTCTTGCTTTATCCTCTCAGAATGCTGGGATTATATCCCTACACCATCATTCTTGGCCTGAAGTTTGTTATAAAAGTATTCTTGCTATTAATTTTACTCTGAAAGGGATCTCTATCACAATTTTCGGATAAGAAAATTAAAGTTACTTTTCTCTAGTGAAAAAATAAGTAAATACAAATCATATAAAATATACATAGATAAAAGAATCCAGGAAATAAAACTTTAACAAAAGATATCTGTCAGAGTGGTAGAATTTTGGAAGATTTCTTAGCATATTCAGAGTTTTCCATACTACGTTTATTAATTTTTATTTACAATCAGAAAAAATATACTATTGTGGAGGCAGGAGATCACCACGAGTTGGAGGCTGGCCTTGGCTACACAGTGAATTCAAGGCCAGACTGCACTACAAAGCAAGAATCTGTCTCCAAACAAAAAATATATACACATATATAATTATACACAATTGTTCTCTATAACTATAAATGTATAATGGTTGTGTGTATATATACAATTGTTTAAATGACAAGCAATATCCTTCTCTCCTTGCTTCAAGTCTTAGTGCTTCACTTTGGTTATACACTGTAAAGGAAATTTTATAGTTACCTCTGTAAAAATAATTTTGTAAAAAAAAATTAAAGTGGAAAAGTGTACACTTAAAATGACAGGCAAGGGGCTGAGGATTTAGCTCAATGGCATAAGCGCCTGCCTTATAAGCGCATAGTTGTGAGTTCCATCCCTAGTACCAAAAAAAAAAAAAAAAAAAAGAAAGAAAGAAAGAAAAAAATGACAGGCAAGTTGTATGGTGTGTATATTTTACCACAATAAAAAAGTGGGTTATGAATAATTCCTAATGCAAAAATACCTGGTTATAGTATTGAAATTAACCAAATTTTAATAGCTCTACTATTCTTCTGGCTTTGGTGAATAACCCCGATCATTTACATGCTGTCTGTCACAAAGTTTCCCTCTGCTTGGTTAGCACAGGAAATGTAAACAAAGTTAAGTTAGAAGCTTCTAGCTCTGGTTCTACCTTGTATTAACAGAGTGGTCCTGGAGGTGGCATTTTATGATCCTTGGTCTGAGAGGTCACTTAAGAGAACCCTCTCCGAGGACAATACATATTCCACACTGCATTGTTTTGAGAATCTACTAAGCTATTATTTATGAGTGACTTAACCTAGAACCCAAGATGTAGCTTCAAGTCAATCAATGGTAGCTATTATTGATTGATAGCTTTGGTTTCAATAGTAAATGTCATTAAACTATTTCCTATGTTTGCAAACTAAATGACATTAATATGAATTAGCTGAAAATACAAATTAAGTATATCAATTAAAATTTTACATGTCTAGTAGTAAAGACCTCAATAAGAACACCTTCCTAAGAATTCAGAAGATGGTGTTGGTCAATGAGAAATCCTGATGATGTAATGGGATTGCCCTTTTTATCCTGAAGCCTGATTGTCCACCAGAATTACTACTAGGCCTGTGAAGTTGAATTCTGCCAAGGTGGTGGACCCAAATGCATCCCTTGTCAACATCCTGCACACCTGAACCAGCCCAACTAAACTTGTCCCAAGTGCCAGTGGCTGAAAATGATGCAGCCCATGGAAACGCAATGGCCCCCCCACCGCACTGCAGCACATGATCAGTGCAATCCAAGACTGTTACAGAGCAGGATTTCCTACAGATTTTTCTAAAACTGTTTTTAGGTCTGAAATTTTCCACTGAGTTGCCCTCTCAAGCAAAATGAGACAAAAATCCCCACCTTCAAAATGCAAAAGATAGGACTTCTAGAACAGCAACTTTTCTAATTATTTGAAGTCATGTGAAGAAAGATTAGGCAGGAGATTAACGAAAAGACATAATCTTCAAGCCTAAATTAAGTAATACATTTTAATAGCCTCTTTCCTCAGACCATGAACTACAGCTAGAAATCCAAGTGCAACATTTGCTCCCACATTCTGAGTGTCTCTGCCTGCTCTAGAGGAAAGAAGTATGCAAATAACGTGGGCACATCATTCCCAGAATGTGAAAGACTGGTTCCAAAGAAAACATGTGCGTCTGAGGTGCTTCTAATGAGAATTCCCTGTAAACTGCTTCAAACCATCCCTGTTAAGATGTTCTCTTTATTCCTAAAACCCATCATGGAGGAAACAAACTAACACATGCCTTCCTGGCACACACAATAAATCCCTTCCTCTGGTTCCAATCTAAGCAAAATAGAGAGTAGCTACAACCATCTTTATAAAAATGTAACTCTTTACAGTCTCGAAAATATCATAGGGTGGGGTGTGGAGAAAACACACATATAAAATGGTTAGTGGTGTGCTAGAGCTTTCAAAAGGAATCCTCACTCTTTGAGCAGAGACATTACTAATACTCAAATAATAGTGAGCAAGCAGCAGTGAAAAAACAAGGGAGGACTGATGAGTATGGAGAAATCTGGATTCAGCTTACATCTTTCTAGAGGCAAGGGACAGCCATCACTCTTCAAGTTTTGTCACCCTGGAAACAGTTCCAGGAGTACCACAGCCTTTTAAGCAATAAGATGAGTATGATGGCAGGTCGAATGCTAAAATTGGTCAGGATAAAATATGAGTTTAACTGTTTGACCTTCAAAAACTCTCTAAGCAGCCAGGCATGGTGGCTTATGCCTGTAACCCCAGCACTTGGGAGACTGAGGCAGGAGGATTTTGAGACTAGCCTGGGCTACAAAGTGAACTCAAGGCCAGCCTGAATTGACAGAGACCCCGTTTCAAAAAAAAAAAAAAAAACTTTGAGCATACTGGGTTTTATCATAATCCAAAGCTCTAACTTGGGTTTGGTTTAGGCCTATTTGTAAGACTCCAATCAAACCTGACTCTCCCAGCTCCCACTACTCTCAGCAGGGAACTCATTGGCAAACACAGGATAGCATGAAGGAGGTAAGACAGGAAAAGGAATTTTAAAGGTCCTGCGGACATCTGGAGAAACCCAAAAATTTACACCAAACACTCTAAGGACTTTGCCCACTGAGGTGCAAGACTGCCAGAGAACTCTGACCACAGATATTTACTAAAATCTTTCCACCTAACGTTCCCTGCCTTCTTTCCATCCCTATAAAAAGGACACACTTCTCTTTGTTCAAAGCAGATAGTCTTACTGCTGTCTGCCTGCCTGAACCCAGGTATTAAACTATATACCTAGATGCTATCACAAAAGCCTGAAGAATGGTCTCTCTGGCCTGTATTTGTTAGACTAATTAATTTAGGTCTAAGTCTCCAGAATGATGAGCCATGAACAGTGGATGCCGTGGGAATGGTGAGAGATAAGAGGTAAAGGGAGTGGAGCTGAGTATAAGAAATGAACCCTTAATCACAAGGCTTGTGGTTTGCTAAAATTGTCACAAGTAATTCACAAAAGGGAAAAAAGTACAAACATAAAAATATACATGAAAATGTAAAAATATCTTAGAATGTGAAGTTCTAGAAGATCTACAAGCTAACTGCCTATTACAAGATCGACAGCAAAATGCAGTAACTAAATACAAAACATAATTTTAACATCTTTAAAATCTTTCACTTTTACATTTAAAAAAATGTATCCCTCCCCCGCCCATTGCACTAGACACCAGCTAGAATGCTATAATCTGGGAAAATGAATATTCAGTTTACTTTCACCGGAAGAGTTACAAAACACTAAAATACACTCACCATTGCTCCTCTATAGTAAGCGGTCGTGATTGTTCGAAATCTTTCCTGACCTGCTGTGTCCCTAAAATTTGAAACAAGAAGAGAATGGTTTGAAAAGTCATCAGCATCACTGAGGAGAGGTCCCAAGCTGTAGTGGTGGACATGGGTTTGCTCGCAGCACAGCAGGCATTGGGCAGAAGGGAACAGAAGAAACATAAAGGGAGCCCATTGTGTGTCTTCCAGCAGGAGGCAGCAGTGGCCACAGGGGCCTGGTAGAGCTCCTACTGGCTTGGATGACAAATTTGGACCTTGATGTTAAAAGCAGCAACACAGAGACCCTGCGAGGGACTGGCATGTCATACTAGTCAAACACACGTGGGAGGAAACAGAGAATAGTTCTCAGTTCTTACACTCCTAGAGGTGGCAATAATCCTTTCTCCAAATGCTTAATGATTAAGGCATTTTGCTTTCTTGACTGAACGTGTGATTTCTTCACAAAGCAAACAGTTGAACTGGACTCACTAATGTGTACATTCTGCTCAGCAGAGCACAATAAAATAGATCTCCTACAGAACCTTTTCAGCAGTACAGGCCACGGTTACACAGGTAAGGGACATTTGATCTATTTTATTACATAGTCCTATCTGCTTCCTAATCTGCAGTGCTCTAAAATTTTGTCTACTACTATCATTACATATAAGGTCAGCAAACACCATCAAAAATATTCTAGGGTCCAAATCTCTTTGGCTCCATGCAAGGCATCACACTGAAAAAAATTAAACTTATTTCTAGGAGGTCTAAAAAACAAAACTAAAAAGAGCTTCTGGGTTAAGTAAAGATACTTGACTTGGCAATCTGAAAATACCACATTCATTGTAGTCTGACAAATTCTTCAGGCATTTCTCAGTCTAAGGTGTATAAGTAAATTGTTCCTTGCACATTCCATCGTTGAGAGATGGGAGATATGCTGTCGATCTAATGTTTGTGTTTTTCCAAAATTCTTATCTGCAAGCCCAATTCTCGATGGAACGATACGTGGAGGGGACCTTTGATAATGGCTTCAAAAGAGAGAAGGTCTCATGAACCAAACTGTTGTTCTTAAAAGCAGGCACATCACAAGGATGATCTCTATCTTGGGCCACATGCCACTATCTGTAAGCCAGGAAGCAAACCCTCTCTGTTAAGACTATGGATCAGCTGGCACCTTGATCTTGCACCTCTCAGACTCTAGAATGTAAGAATATGAGGTGTGATCAAAATACACGATGAATGTTTAATTTTTTCCAAAAATTCATTATTGTAAAAGACATACAGCCATTAATCCCCTCAAAGTACTCCTCCTTGCTCCCACCACCTTTTTAAGCAGTCCAGAAGTCCTCTTTTGTTAGTGTTTTTCATTGTACTGTCCTAGCTCCCATGTCCTAGCTACCATATCTGAACTGATTCAAAATGTTTACCTTGCATGTTCATGTTGATCTGGAGGAAGAGTCAGAAGTTGTGCAATGCCAGATCTGGTAAATAAGGTAGGTGAAGACACACTATAGTGTTTTTATTTGACATATATTGCCATAAATGTTTTTAATCAATTCAAGATGTTACGCTAGTGATAAAAAGACACTCTTGAAAGAGGACTTTGAGAACTGCTTTAGAAAGTGGCAAGAACGTTAGGATAAGTATGAGGGGGATGAATGGCAATGTTAATTTTATATAATAACTTTTCATTTAAATGCTAACTGTATTTTTTTGTTTTATTTTAGTGTTTGGTTTTTTTGAGATAGAATCTCACTATGCAGTTCAAGCTGGCCTTGAACTCACTTTGTAGCCCAGGCTGGTCTCTAACTTGCAATGATCCTCTTGCCTCAGCCTCCACCACATTCAGAGCTAACTGAATTTTTTGATCACCTATCAATTGTTTAAGACACTCAGTGTAGGATACTTTCATTACAAGAGCTGTGATAGTGTGATGCAAGAAGAAATACATATTTGGTCTCTGACACAGCTTTCTCGCACACAGCTCCTACAACTGCTGGAATCTCTGAAGTGATGTCTTTTTGTATGCTAATGAGATGGCTGGTGCTGGGGCTCCTGGATGGCTTCAGGATGAGGGCTGATTGCCAAGAGAACAACCCTGTGATTAGAGGGCTGGAACCTTTAGTACCATCAACCAATCCTAAGGGAGGGGTAGGGAGCAGGACTAACAATTTGAGCTGATTACCAATGGCCAAGAATGTAATCAATCATGCTGATGTAGCTAAATTACCACAAAAACTCAAGAGGACAGGCTTCAGGGAGTTTGTAGACATCAGAACAGTGGAGATGCCAGGAAGGCTGATTGCCCAGAGAGGGCTGGGACAGTCCAGCTTTCCCACTGAACTTGCCTTGCATACCTCTTTCATCTGGCCATTCCTCTAACCTATAATAAATGGGTAAATGTGTCTCTCTGAGTTCTGTCTTCAGACCCCAGGACAGGGCTGTGAGACACTTGATTAAAAGTCAGAAGTATAGGTAATCACTTACTGCTTGCAGCTGGCATTCAGTAGTAAAGAGAAAACTGAGCAACTGAATGCTCAACCTGTAGGACTATTTCTAAGAAGGAGGTCAGAACTGAGTTAATATGGAACACCCATTTGGAGAATGGCTTGGTATGCAAGGGAAAAAAACACACACATCTGGTGTCAGAGGGTTGTGCTGTGTAAGAATGTTTTGCTTTGTTTTTGTTTTGTCTTTTGAGATAGCATCTGACTATGAACCCCAGTCTGACCCCAAATGCAACATTCTCCTTTTTCACCTTCCTGAGTACTGGGATTGTAGATGTGTACCATGGGGGTCTGACCTTTTTTTTTTTTTTTTTTTTTTTTGTTAAATAGAGTAACTTAAGAGAAAATAACTTATTTTTTTCCCTAAATAGTTGAATAGTCCTAATTTTTCTATTTAATGAGAAGAAACATGCAAATAAATATAAAATATCAGAGCCAGAGGTAAACCCACAGTCACCAGCCAAAATAATTTACCGAGAGGAAAGCAGACCCCAGGAGGTGGTTATGGTTTAGGTAAGTGCTCCTGAACCATCCATTTGTTAAAAGCTTTGTCCCTAGGGTAGCAACACTGGCAGGTGGTGAAAACTTTGGGGGTGGGACTAGTGAGAGGTCCTAACAGCACTTGGAGCAAGCCCTTTAAGGAAACTGTGGGTCACTGCACCCTTCCTGTCTCTCTCTTGCTCCTGAGCTCACAAAGTAAGACATCTGCCTGATCACGTGCACTCTGCCACCCGCACTCTCTTCAGAGGTCCAAACCCAGTCCTCCAGACCTGGAACTGAAATCTCCAAAACTCAGTCAAATTAAGCCTTTTCTCTTTATAAGTTACTTAAGTATTTAATTACAGTGAACAAGAGGTAACTAATGTAGAAGAGAAACAATTGACCCAAAGTCCTCACTGGAGAGCACCGCAACTATAACCTAGATCTATACTTTCAGCTCAAGGTTTGTACCACTTGATCATTTTGTCTTATCTGATTTTACAGTTGCAAAACCTACAATGAAGAAGCAATTCACATGTTTTAGGATTTAGTTTCCTACTATATAAAATTAGAGCTTAGGAAGAACAAGTTCCCAAATTTGCTGTGGCTCTAAGATTAGTGGTACCATTTCTCACTTCCCCACTCTTGCTGGTGATACTTTTGAAGGAGACTTGATACTTACCCATTTCCCCTTGGCGCTGATAAAGAAAAGATGTTGTAGCCTGAGCCTTATCATAACCCACATTTTAACTCCCACTTTCAATTCCTGATTAAAGTAGAAACTGCGTGTATATGAATGTGTGTGTGTTACTTACCATATCTGAAGCTTAATTTTCTTTCCATCTAGTTCTATCGTTCTGATTTTAAAATCAATTCCTGCCAGAAAAACAAAAAAAGATATGCTAAGTTTCTTCAAATCTAATCCAAGTCTTATTAGGAAGAGGACAAAGCTTGCTATTGAAAAAAAGCTCTCCAACGCACTGGAAAATGTGAACAGAGAGAGGGTGTGAATGGTATGTTTCCTCTGAATACAGTCTGAAGAAAGGAATGCTAATTGCTCTGCAAAGAATTCCCACACATGTTAAATGCAACGTATTTTTTGCCTTATTATTTTGACACAAATGGACCACATCCGGCAAAGTTACATAATTTAGATAGATTGAGAACATGCCAAATTTTCTACTTCCTGAAATATGTATAAACAATACTTCCTACCCTCTCTCTCCATCCTTCCCTAAATATCATGGGGCTGATTTCAAATGTCTTTCTCCATATTTGTTCATTTGTTTCTTTGGAACCTACAACTAAGGCAGGAAAAAAAAAAAGAGAGAGAGAAAAATCTACTTATTTGAAGGCTGGAGAGAAAAAAATTACTGCATTTTATACAGTAAGGCAGTGGTTTGTGTACATTTAAATAAATGTTTCCACTGATTACTACCTAAAACTGAAACAGCTATAATGGTTTTTAGTCCTGGCTGCACTTCAGAATTACTTGGAAAGCTTAAAAAACAAAACAAAGCAAAACAAATACTTCATGTCTAGGCCTGCTTCCTTCCCAAAAGTCTAAGATTGTGACTTAACTGGTCAAGAGTTAAAAGCTCCCCAGGTAATTTTAACCTGAAACCAAAGTTAAATGCTCAGCAGGGTGTGCCAGATGGCACCTCAAAAGTTCAACTCCTTCCTCTCCTACTTCTCTTCTCTGTGACAGCTCCAAACTTGCTTATAAATTTCTAGATCTTACAAAGAACCACAACTATCAATCAGCACACTCTACATACACTGGGACGAAGCCTTCTCAGGAGCTTTCTAAATTCTCATCATCCAGCTACACAGCTTTTGTTTCTACCATAGAACACCTGAAGCAGTTTCCAAGATATTTCAAGAAAACATGAATTATGAATCCTCTACATTGTCATTAATTATACTTATCTGAGGTGGAAGGAGCCTTCAACAGCTGTTTCTCCCAGCTCCAGCTTTACTGAATAACGTGTAGGATTAAACCAACTGGATTTTGTCTTTCTTCTCTCGTACTCTACTCTGCCCTAAGAAAGTTTTTTCTAGGTAATGCTTGTCAATCTCAAAATAGACAAAAATCATTCCCAAGCTGATCTAGCAAAGTAACCTCTTAAACATTCTTTGCTCTCAGTAATGATCACAGATTGTTAACACATACACTCTGGAGCCTGATATCCCCAGGATATATGGCACCTATTCCTCTTGATGGTACTTTCCTCAGGATGACAGGGCACAAGTGGTGGAAGCAAAACTTAGCACCAGAGCATGTTATTGCTAGCAATCCACAGAATTTATTGTGCCATCATTCACTTAAGACCAATAGACACTGGCTTTCATTATGATTTGGCTTTTCACATATCTACAAATCCAACGAAACAAAGACCTTCGAGAGGCCCCCTCTGGGTTTCATCTCTTTTTGGTCCAGGTCCGTCATCAAGCAATGCTTAATATCTGCTAGGTACTCAAATGTTTCTTGAGAATAACTTTTTTAAAAAATCATGCTTTTCCAAATCCACAGAAATAGAAAGTAGAATGGCAGTTACCAGTGGGTAGGAGAAGGGGAAAAGGGAATATTTGTTTAATGGGTCCAAAGTTTCAGAATTGCAATTCTGAAGATCAGTTGCACAACAACGTAAATGTGCTTAGCAACAATGCAGAGTACACCTAAAAAGTGGGTAAAGATGGTAATTTTTTTTTATTTTACCATGGTAAAACAAACACAATTTGCCCTGCAAAAGTCTTCTTACTTATGTACCCTAGTTCTTGCACAAGGAACTACAATCTAACTCAGTACTAACAAGAATTTGCCTTTATTAAGATGACTGGGTCTCACTCAATCACAGCAGCCAAACTTTACTAAAACCTAGTTCAAATAAGGTAAATGCCAAGTTTTAACCAACTGTGCTGCCCCTGTGCCTTATTTCATGTTTTGCACGTCACTTCCCTTTTTCTGCCACTTGCTTCCCTCTTTCTGTTAAATGTTATTCAGCTACATGCAATCTGCGTTTATTCTCATTCTAGGGGCTTCCTGATTTATGAATTGCTTTGCTGTTCAATTAAATGTCACGAAATTTGTCTAAAATTTTTCTTTTAGGGGGCTGGGGATTTAGCTCAGCGGCATAAGCACCTGCCTTGCAAGCAGGCGGTCGTGAGTTCGATCCCTGGTACCGATAAAAATGAAAAAGACAAAACAAAAACAAAAAAAAATAAATAAAATAAAATTTTTCTTTTAACAGAACCACAACAAAAGAGAAAAACAAATTCATGACTTCCCAAAAGAATACACAGACAATAGCTAACTCAAAGTACAAATGTCCAACATTTCATCATTAATAATTATTCACATTTTAAATAAAAGGTGATATATACCAAAACACCTGTTTAAATCACATTTTCCTGACTCTGGCTTAGTAAGAGGATAACTCCAGTTCTTTCAGGTTGCTTTTGCTGCAGAAAAACAAGGGCAGCTTTGCAGGGCGTTCAACAAAAGCCATTTTGAGGTTTCTTTCACTTCTCTCTTTCCATTCATTTGAAACATTTCAGAACTTTGTACTGACCTAGTCTTTTTCATTTTGCATTTGTTAGAGGTAATATCTTGCTCTTATTTGAGAAAGTTCTAAAAATTGGTGACACTTAACCATCTTTTCACTATTCAGAGCTTTTCAAATATTTAAAAGAGTTGTTAACTGTATCATTTAGTTCATGCTATATCTAAGACCCAGCTGGTAGACAGTGTTGTAGACACTGAAATTAGCAAACAGAAATAAGCAGGTGGGGACCTAAAACAGGTAACTTTTTTTGGGAAAAAAAAAAAAAGGAATTTCACTAAAAATGGAAAATATTAAGATTATTGGAAAGCACTAACTTGGGAGGTCAAAAGACCTAGATTGCTGGTTTACCAGCTTTTGGATAGGTCTCACAATTGCTCTATTCCTCTGTATCTTCACCCATAAAAAAGGTAGGGAGGATCTCATTAGTTAGAAAGTAGGTGTAAGCAGCTCTGGGAAATTCCCTATCAAGCTAAGAGATGAGGCATTTAGGTCCCATTATGCGAGAGCTCTTGCTATTTCATACGCAGTTATTGGGAACAGTGTCCCTGGAAGTCGTTCCAGCCTCTCTCCTCATCTAACTCCTCGTGTGTCTCTGTCAGAGTAACTTCCAAAAGTCTTTGTGGGAAGACAGCCACAAAGGCCTCCAGCAGCCCCACAGCCTTTTCCTCAGATGTGCTCTCCAGTGGGTGCCACCTCTGAGCCCCTTCGGCATAGCCTTAGGCTTCTTCCACACCTCCTCTCCCCTGTCCCTCATTGCTCTGCAGCCTTCAGAAAGGATACCACGCCACAGTCCTGCCCCTTCTCACCTCTGCTCTCCACTCAGCCATGTCCAGCCCTGCCTCAACGCTGGGTTTCTACACGGTGATGTGATCCCGCATTGCTGGGGTTTGTTAACACACTGCTCTAAAACTGCTCTCAAATCGGACGAAGTCCTATCTTCTCTGCCAGTTAAACTGTCTACAGAAATATGTATGGAGCAGACGTAAGATGAAATACTGTCACAAACTTAAGTGAAAATACTACTAAGTGTGAAGATGCTAAAACAACCTTGGAAGTTCAGTTTTAAAGCAACCATAGTTAAGTTACCAAGAAATCTTATTCCAATAAGAAAATGAAGATGTTTACACTATAATCAATTCAATAATGCTATCAGCAAAACTATGGAGTAGATTAACATTCACTATAAAACTCAAAGAAAAGGTAATGCTCTAAGGCTGCTCAGGGGTTAAAAGAATAATTACCATAAAATTATAGTAAGCAGGATGCTTTCAGCTGCAAAGAACAGAAAACCCCAAATCAAACTAGCTTAAGGTAATTTGCTGACTCATGTAACAAGCCCAGGGGTGAGCTGGGGGTTCAGGGTTCAATCCAGCAGTTCCGGCTCATTTCTCTATGCCTCCCTTGGCTCTGCCTCTTGGGAGTATCAATTTTATCTACTGACAGATAGCAGTTCCTGAACACAGCAACAGCACCAAGAAAAGAGATCATCTTCCTGTGCCGCACTCCTGAGAATGTGTCTCCCCAAAGCCTCCAAGGACTTTTCCTTTGTGTCTTATTTACAGGTTATGAGCATGGTAATGTACCCTGGTGGGCTAAGACCAAATTCCTGAACTAATCACTGCCACAGGAAGTGACTGCCTCTCAATTCAGATTAATCAAAGCTTGTCCCTGGGGCCAGGTCCCCTAATCCACAGGGCTGCTGAAAAAAAGAGAGTGAAAGTGGAAAGACTGCCAGCACCACTTTACAAAACTACTCAAATCTAACTGGCAAAATTTTACGTCTACCGCTATATGAAATGGACAAACTCTAAAAGTGATTACTTCTACTCTGCTGGCGAGCAGTATTACATACTCACTGATAACCTGCAGTACTTCTCTGGGGGTAACTGCATTTATTGTTCAATCAAGAATCAGAAAAGAAGAAAAAAAGGATAGTGACCTCTCTGTACTACTGCCTCAGGCCCACCGGGCTCATCTCCTGGCCTCAAAAGAGTAGAGGCTGGAAAAGAGGACAAGGACTGTCACACTGATAGGTCAAGAGCCACTGCACTGCTGGTCCCAGCAGTTACAAGTGGCTTTTTTTGTTTTGGGGGGGGGGGGCCTACATAATCTCAAAAACATGCTCTTAAGGGACATTATACTCAGGGCCTAAAAGTCCTTCATACTTCACTCGCCTTTCCAAGAGCATCATTTTCTGCAGCACACAGCACAATCATTCAGAACAGCAGCCTTGAGTCATCCTGACTCCCAAGCAATCCGTGACCAACAGATACCAAGTCAGACGGGTTAAGCCGACAGTATCTTTCTGCT